TTTGATTTCAGAGAGGAAGGATGAGGGAGAGAGAGATAGAAACATCAATGATGAGAATCATTGATCAGCTGCCTCATGCACGCCCCCTACTGGGGATCAAACCCACAACCCAGGCATATGCCCTGACCGGGAATTGAACCTATGTCCTCCTGGTTCATAGGTCGATGCTCAAGCCCTGAGACATGCTGGCTGAGCCTCCTGATGATGCTAACACAAATCTTAAAAGATGGGTAGGAATTAGTCAAAGAGGAGGGAGAGCATTTGTGAGCAAAGAGAGCATTTGTGCTTTCAGTGAGCATGAGGCATGCAGATTGCAGGATAGGCTGGGGCGTGCAGACTGTGGTAGTGCAGGGTGGGCAGAGATGAGCCCAGGTGATTGGGCTCAAGAATGCTAAACATAAGGTTTGAGGCAGGCAGTGGCAGGAGCTCAATCCTTTAGGGCATTATATATCCTTTAGGAAGCTTGTGTTTTATACCCTAGAACAATGTTTTATTTACTGTGTTCAGTGAAATTTTAACAAATACATATACGTAATCCTAACCTGAGGATATTTTTTCCATTGATTTTTTTTAAGAGAACGTGAAAGGGAGGAAGGGTGGGAGGGAGGGAGAAAGGGAGAGAGAGAGGAAAAAAAAAAAACCCCAACACATTGATGTGAGAGAGGCACATCAATTGGTTGCCTCCTGCACATGTCCCGACTGGTGCTGGGGATAGAACCTACAACCCAGGTATGTGCCCTTGACCAGGAATTGAACCAGAGACTCTTCAGTGCTCTAACCACTGACCCACACAAACCAGAGCAACAAACATAATTTTTAAAGTTTCTATAGCCCAACAAGTTCAAGGTTAAATACATAGTTACTCCTATTTCTTTACAGCAGGACTTCTCAGAGCCTTTCACATGCTAATAGGCAGCATGAATCTTCAATAAGGCAATGTACTCTGCAGTATGTCTTCACTTTTGCCCACAGGTCCTCTTTCTGACCCCACTCTCTCGTACCCCCACTGCTGCAGGATTTCCATTAGCCAGCTCCACATACTAGGAAACGCTGCCACCCACCTCACGGAGCTTGTCAGGTTCAGTACGTGTCTATGCTTGTCAGCGTTCCTGTGGCTTTGCCAGCTTCTCCTGATCTCCGTCTGCTCACCCAGACACCCCTCCAGACCTCTTCACGTGAGCGCCAGCTTCTCCCGCAGTGGCTGAACTCACCTCCTCCTCCACAGAAAGGATGAAGGCCAAGGCAGAGGCCGGCCTTCCACTCCACCCTTTTAACATGTCTACACCTACAGATGTCCTAGCTCTCCCCCCTCTGCCACCCTGAGATGTCATTCCTTTTTCTGAAGGTGGATGGCAGCGTTTTAGTCTAAGAAGAGAAAAGAATTGTCAGAGAACAGAGGCTGCTGTTCGGGGTCAGAGAGTTAGTCAGAGGCAGGGATCAGAAGTCTCCTGATGCCCATGTGAGAGCCTTTCCCCCGGGCCATCCTGCCATCTAAATGCCTCCTAGAGGGTAGTCCTAGTCCAAGAGGCCCACAAATGACAGACACGTGCCATTGATACATTGCTTCTATGGCATAAAATTACCTAGTCACACTGTGAATATCAGTAGTATCCTGTCAAGTTTCTTTCACTAGAACTATTTGTTTCCTTCCTTTTCTTTTTTCTTTTAAATGTATTTTTTAGATGTAAGGTAAAGCACAGGGGATGTTTCTTCTCAAACAACTAACTACTTCTCCCTCCCGTCTGTCTCACATCGTCAGTGCCAGCACCATGGTGTCTGCCTCTCAGACAGGCCTCTGGTGACCCAGAAGGAAGGAGAGTGCAGGGTGGAAGAAAACTGATTTGTGCCCGGTGCACACGTCTCTCCTTACAGCTGCTGCTCTTCTCAGTTTTCTGCTTGGCTGGATTTTTTTTAGACGATTAATTGTTTTTTTCCCTATTGCTAAATGCAAAACAAACAAAAGCACAGTCCCGTGTGTAACACCTGCTAGCATACATTTCCTTTAGGAGCAAATATTTGTAATAACAAGGAGTTAGAATAAACTAATCTTAACATTTTTACATCATTTACCATAGTTTAAAAGTAAAAAGGAGGGGAGAGACCAAGATGGCGGCATAGGTAAACACCGCAGACTGCTGCCACAAACAACCACTTCAAAAATACAACTAAAAGACGGAACGGACATCACCCAGAACCGCAGGAAGGCTGGCTGAGGGGACACCCCTGAGTGCATGAATTTTCATGCACTGGGCCTCTAGTTTATAAGAATACATTTGTGCGAGGAAAATGCTGGTACATGATGTTTGAGGTGTATGAGAGTTCACTACCCAGTCTTTATTGCCTTTTTGCTTTGAGACTCCCTAGATATCTTGCTTAACCTTTACCATTTCTCTGCATTGCTGACATGTTGGCATGTCACATCAGAGAGAGGAGGCACTTACTCTGTACTTCCTCTCTTCTTCGAATCTGTCCTCAAACTTCCGGATCTTCTTTTTAAGGCTCTGAATCCTTCGTGTGAGCTGGGCAGGTGTCAGGTCCTCGTGTTCGTCATCGTAGGACCCCAGAGAGCAGCTCCGTTGCCTGTGAGGGGAAACCTTGAGTCAGCTCCCCAGCAGTGAGTCACTGCCTGCTGGGAAGAGCTGGGGGATGAGGAGGAGGCATGGGTGGGGAGGGTGTGAATGGTCTTCATGCTCTCCAGTAAAATAAACTGGACTACTAATTCATTTTGTGACTTTGGGCTCTATATGTCCCACCTATTAAATGGGTCTAATTTCCTCTAGCTCACATTTATAATTAGCAAAGTTAGGGTGGAAATGTCTGCTGAGGCTTCAAAGTTAAATTTGAGAGAGCTTTGGAAAGGAGGTGCCAACGCAAATTCAGTATGTGATGTTGCAGTTGGGCCACAGTTCAACTGAGAAACTACGATGAAGCCTGTGTCCCAGGAGGGAGAATTTTAAATATATTCCTTCACAGACTTACAACTTAATTAAGAAAAATTATTGCCCATCAGCCATGACTATCCTAATGATGATGCATTTGCTGATCAACAAAAAGAAACCTACCTCATGAAAGAGTGGGAATTTGGGGGAGAAGGAGGCACTTCTGTGTCATCCAGGTATTGCCTACTCTGTCCATACGAGTAGAACCGAGGAGAGATCATGGGGTCGCTATCTTCGTCCAGAAGCTGACGAATGAGATGCCCGGCTGGTGGGGAGAGGGGCGCATCGTCAGAGTCCCCGTTCTCCTGCTGCCATGAGGACAAAGCAGGCATGGGATCTGGAAAATAATGAGGGTTAAGAGGTCAAAAGCATTCTAAACATATATATATCGATTTCAGAGAGAAAGAGAGAGGGAGAGATATAGAAACATCAATGATGAGAGAGAGTCATCGATCAGCTGCCTCCTGCGCCCCCCCCCCTCCCCAGGGGGATCAAGCCCACAACCCAGGCATGTGCCCTGACCGGGAATCGAACCATGACCTCCGGGTTCATAGGTCGACACTCAACCACTGAGCCATGCCGGCTGGGCCAAAATTGTTCTTTAAAGCACAACTGTTTGCCAAGTTTTCTGAAAGCATTAGGAGGCAATGAATTTAAGAGGCACAGAATGGTTTCTCATTTTAGATGTAAGGTTCTGACTAGAGACACTATGTCCCAACCAGAATCACCAAATTGTCTGAGAGCCATCATCTGCCTTCTATCTCCATCCTCACTTGCTTTCAAAAGAGAATTTGCTAGGGCTGCCCTTAGGAACAGCCTTGAAGGAGCAATGGTGTCTGTCCCGACTCCCAGCTGCAGGTCACTGGCGGGAACTTTCCACACTTTCATACGGAAAAGAAATGTGGCAGGGAGGAAGATACTTGGCATCTTGGCTATCCATCTTTCATTAATGTACAGAACTCCAGCTAAGGCATCACAGTAATTATGAGTGAGCCCATGATTTAAGAGCTTGTACCTTCCACTGAGGTTTAGGTAAGCTGTTTCGTGCGCTTCTGCTTAGTGGTTAGAGTTAGCATGTTTAAGATGCATGCTTTTCAGTTGAAATTTCAGAAGCTGCTCAAGAATACAGTTAAAGTAAAAACCACAAATTAATCAAAAAAAAAAAAAGTAAAAAGGACTTGAAAAAAATATCAAACTACAGATGTAAACACTGGGCCCAATAAACCTGCATTGCTGTAGGACTTCGTTAGCTGCCCCTCATGCTTGACTTGTGTGGAATTCACTTGGGATGGTGAGTGCTTGTCCCTAGCCTGCTTATGGCCTATTCTCTCCTCCTACCACCCCACTCTCATCTCCAGGAGCCGATGAGCCTGGACAGTCTGTATAGAAGCAGCTCAAGAAAACCACTGGCACCAAGATGTTAGGGGTATGGTGGTTTTGCTCCTCCCAGATGTGAGAGCCTTTCCCCCGGGCCATCCTGCCATCTAAATGCCTCCTAGAGGGTAGTCCTAGTTCAAGAGGCCCACAAATGACAGACACGTGCCATTGATACATTGCTTCTACTGGCATAAAATTACCTAGTCACACTGTGAATATCTATTGGTAGTATCCTGTCAAGTTTTTTTTCACTAGAACTATTTGTTTCCTTCCTTTTCTTTTTAATTTTTTTTATTTTAAATGTATTTTTTAGATGTAAGGTAAAGTCTAGGGAATGTTTCCTCTCAAACAACTAACTACTTCTCCCTCCCGTCTGTCTCACATCGTCAGTGCCAGCACCATGGTGTCTGCCTCTCAGACAGGCCTCTGGTGACCCAGAAGGAAGGAGAGTGCAGGTGGAAGAA